TTGATTCAACAATTCCTATCTATAACAAGCTCATGAAGATTATGAAAACATGATTGAAATATTAGATTAACTTATGGTGGATAGATTTTAAAATTACTCAAGGAGTTTATATAAAGCATTATAAAATAAAAGCAAAGCAGAACCCCAAACCCTAACTCAAATCTCTTACAATAATAACTAAGTAGACACGTGAAGATAAGAAGAAATATAGATAAAAATGTTGCAGAAATAATATTTCTATTATATTTCACCTCAATTGTTCTATCTTGATTTCTTTTTTGAGCTATTAATAGGCACTTTAGAAATTCATTGTTATATTACTAGAATAGTTTGTCTCTTTCTTACTCAAACTAATCATTATCTTGTCATATTCTATTGTATTATAAAAAAGTATCATTTAAAATTTTGGTTTACTGAGCTTTGAATTTGACTAGAATCTTTTAAACAATTTCATGTTACCAACATGCTAATGAAATTGCTAAAGCATAACTTTGACTCTTTTCAAAACTTATATCATTCAAACATCTTGCTTTGAAACATTATTGGAGTAATCTTGACTTAAAATCACCTTAGATCATTGAGGTGTTGGTGATTTTATCTTTATTAATTACTTAACAACAACTTTTTTCAAAATGACCAACCTCAAAAATCTTCTTTAATCATAAGAATCATAAGCACCTATTTGATGAACAGGATAAGATATAAGAGTTAGATAAATATTTGATATAATATGATATGATAAATGAATGATATTTGATAACCTATATTTTAGGATGTCGTTATAACTTATTTTTATATATTTGACCCATAAAGAATTATACATTGATTTACTCATTAATTGTTGCATTTTGACATGAATCAATTACCAGTGAATTATATTTTAGTCGCCAATAAGTTTGTATCTTAACATATTTTTATAGCTTATATATTTATATTTAGCTATTATTTTAATTAAGTTTTTACACTATTTTATATATTAATTGTGTATTTTAATCTAAGAAGGTCATAATTAAGTTTTGAGTGCATTTTGAGCCTAAATTGGATGGAAAATAGGGCTTTACAATAGCTAGCACGCTCACACCCTAGCCTAAACCCTAAACCCTAAACCCTAAACTAGCATAAGGGGTGCTTTAAGACACATGCACAATCGTGCTTATGACCTTGCATGGTCGTGCTTACCTACGAGAATTCCAACTATGAAGAACTTTTAGGATTTTCAAACCCTATTAAAATAAACCACAGAGATAACGACTCATCATCCTTTTCATCCTTTTGATATCATCCTCCCTACACTTTTGACACATTTTTTTTTTCATAACCCTGCTCTTGATCTCTGGCACATCCTTAGCGGAACTTGAAACTTTGAGTGATCGTACTTAAAGACCGATAACTCTTCTCATCCCTAATCTTCAGGGATAATATAGTTTGCTATTTTTTTTTGTACTATGACTTTATTTATGATTGTTTTAGTTCTTTTCTCTAGCATGAGTAACTAAGTGTATGGCTAATGTTATAGGAACTCTTATTCAAGAATTTATATGATTTTGATGTTTGAATCTAAGTTTGATTTCTGTCTGTGATTAGTGTTTATCTTATTGTGCATAATTTTATGTTATGAATTGGCAATTCATAACATAATCCTAATTAGTTACATCATAGGTAACTGTACCACAATTAATTAATGAATCTCTATGATAAAACGAACCAAAAAATTAGGCAGACCAAACCAATATTTCTCTTTCAATCATTATTAAATTAACAAGTTCATAGATGTCTTATGCTTTCTTTAATTGATATCTTGCATGACCATTGTGGATGTTAATTTATAGAAAAAATATTTAGATTAGTAGAGTTCATTATAGAAAGTAAGCTTAGTTATATATCTAGAGAATGACAGAGGATTCTCCATTATAAGTTTATTGTACCTAATGATAATAAACTTGGTGATGCATATATAATAGAATTCACTATAGGATATAATGTTCTGTTTGATTTGTCTGCTGGTGGTAGAATACACCACACATTATGTCTATATGTGTATAGAGGGATGATTCAGATGCTTGATGTCATGAACTACGTGTATACTATTCATGGTCATGATTAGATGGAAAAACCAGCCACATTTACTCAAGAGCAAATTATGACACCCAAACACTAGGCAAGGGTGGGGAGTGATCGCTGGTGCAATGTGGCACGGACAAGGAGCAACTACTTGACAAACTTTCGATGGTAAGGAGCACATGAATGAATAGAACTTATATCGGAATAAAAAGGATCAAGAGACTATGTATACAGTTGAGGATAGCTTAAAGAAATTGATTAAAACTACTTATACCAATAAAATACATTTACTTTTAACTTGGAGCAATTATAAGATGAGTTACCTTTTGGGAAGTTCCCAGGAAGTGTGTGAGTGAGGACAAAATACATTGAAAAGTCTTGTGTTGGTTTGTGGGGACAATCATCAGTTCCTAATAAGTTATGGGGCTGTTACAATAATGGTATCAAAGCAAGCCTCTCTCCTAGTACGGTTAGGATGGAAGCGGGCCAGGTTGCCTGACAGGGGCCTACAGCCTGGCCTGGTTTAAGCCTGGTCTGACCTGGCCTTTTTAATGAATAAACAAGGTTTAAGTTTTTTTTAAGGCCTATTTAAGTAAATAAGTTAAATCTGAGCTGTTTATAAAGCCTGTTAAGCTTGACAGGCCGACCAATATATATATATATATATATAATAGGACCATATAGTAAATAATATAATTTTAAATAAATTATGTATAATAATATATACTTTTTACAACTTACTATGTGTTTTACCTTTATTGATATAAATTTTTTGACTAAAGTACCTATAAAAAAAAAAAAATTAGATGTCCATAGTACATAGCTACACACTTAAATATAAATATGTCAAATTTTAAATAATTATTTTATATTATATTCAAAAATAAAAATATTTATACACGATTACACATGTTTAAAAAATTAATTTATTTAATAATAAATTATTATATTTGTTACATTTAAATAGGTTAAAAAAAGTCTAAGTCTTTGAACAGAAATAAGTCATAGTTAAAAACTAAATGAATTAAAATTTAAAAAAAATATTAATATTCTATTAATATATTTTTTATTTTTATTTTATTAGTATTAATATTTAATTATTATATTAATATATTATGTTATAATTATTTTTATTTATAATAAATAGAAATTACTTAAATATAAATTATATTTTATTTGAAAGTAAAAATTTATAAAAAATGATAAGAAAATAAAATAAAAAACTTATTATAATATATATATATATATATATATATAAATATAATCAGAGCATATAGCAAATAATATAAATAATATAATTATAAATAAATTATATAATAATATATATTTTTGCAACTTACACATGTTTTAATTAAATTATTAGTTAATTTATCAATTTATATATAATATATAAGTATGTGTTTTAATTTATTGTATCAGTAATATTTTTTATATTACATTAATGTTATAGTGTAGTTAATTTTATGTTTATTTTTTAATTTAAAATAAAAAATTAATAAAATAAATAAAATTAAATATTTTATGATTATTTTTTAATTTAATAGTTATTATTATTGTCATTATATATATATATATATATTGCATTAATTTTAAATTTATTTATTTTTAAAACATAATAATTTTCTTTTAATTGATTCAACAAATTGTGTGAATGTTATTTTTTGTGATCAATTTTATGTGTTCACTATAACTTTATTTATTAAATATAAGATGTCTTTAAACAAATAAAATATATATATAAAATAAAACTAAAATCTTTAATATTTAAATAATTTTTAAAAATAAATCAAGAAAAATATAAATTTTAGTAATATAAAATATTTATAATTGATGCTTAAATAATATTTTAAAAATTATTTATAAAATTATATAAATATTATTATAATTATTTAATAATTATTAATAACATAGATGAAAATTAAAAAAATATGTAAATTAATTTGATAATAAAATATTTATATTTTTATTAATATTAAAATATTTTTTTAACAGGCTTCAGGTCAGGTCAGACCACTTAAATAGGTCAGGCCAGGCTGAAAATAAAGCCTTTAACAAGTAACAGGCCAAGTTCAAACCTAATAATTATGTTACAGGCCGGCTTGTTTAGAGTAAAGCTTGACCTGTTTCCATCCCTAAGCACGGTGTGGTTCGAGGATGAATCAAGCGGAAGCTGGTAGACATGTGACATCCAGAGACTAGGCGAGGGCAGGGTATGATCGCTGGTACAATGTGGCACGGATAAGGAGCGACTACTTGGCAGGCTTCCAGCGGTAAGGAGCACATGAATGAATCGAATTTACATTGGAATGTGAGGGATCCAAAGACTATGTATACAGTTAATGATAGCTTAAAGGAATTGATTAGGACTACTTACATTAACAAAATGCATTTACTTTTCGGTAGCTTATTACTTAAAAATTCTAAAGTTAAATATGCTTAACTTGGAACAATTATGGGATGTGTGACTTTTTGGAATTTTTCGAGAAATGTGTGAGTGAAGACGGTTTGTGGGGACAATTATCAGTCTCGAATAAGTTGCTGAGTTTTAGTAAATGTTTATATATCTTGACGTTTGCAAAGTTGACGGACTTTAATAAATGTTTATATATCTGTTTCTCTTTATCTCAACGTCTGCAACATAAGTAAATACATTAACAAAGTAAGGATTTTTAGCAGCATTGAATGACAAATTGACCGAAGAAAATAAACTAACTATGTTGAATGTTCTATTGTTTTATTATTAAATACATTCTAACGGTCCTTCAATGTTTTGTCTTTTTTTTCTTATTCCAATCAAGTGTTGGATTTAAACTTAAACTTTTAATAGGTACAGAATTTTGCACATGCTTTGATTTTTCATTAGCCTATCTATTAAGTTGTGTCATCTTTACAAGACATTTAACACTTTTAAACAAATAATAATCTCTTTTTTTTTTCCTCATCATAATAATTACACGCCAACTTATATTTTCTTCCCTTCTTTCTTATTTTGTAACACATTTACATAAGCTCAGAAGAGAGAATCATATTCAACTTTTGCTTCAAAGATATAGCTAAATTGTTGTAAATCCATCCATAATTATAATAAAATTAATATTAAATAAGAATTTGCTGTACATCTCTTTTTACTATACTTTTTTTATTTCCTGCAATATTACAATCTATATTAATATTATAAAATATTAAAAAATTTAAAAGCTAAAACAATTCATAACAAAACATAATTATAATATTTTAATATTTGTGCAACATATATCTGTATCAATATAATTGTTATACTAAATAGGTCTGCTTAAGTTATAAATAATATATCTTAAATAGACTAACAAAATTAAGATATTATATAATAAACTATATTAACTCTTAAAGAGACAATTTTATTAGCTTACTCAGAATGAAGTTATTTATGTTATAGAATAACTTAAACAAATCTCAATTTGTTTCTTCAAATTCTGTTAGGCCTTGGGTTCCACAGGCCTAAAGGCTGTTTTACTGTCTACTGAAGGTTCCAGCTTCCAATGAATCAAACTATACTGGAAGCTCATGCTGTTGGGGTCACATGGTGTGCCCTTCATTAAGTACATAATCATCGCACTAAGATGATGGGTGGACTCATTATTTTGTATCTTTTCTCTATTTTAGGTCGATATTCTTAATATGTACATGGCCTATCCAAATTTTCACATTTTGGCCAGTCTCGTGGCCTGTCTATTTTATTAAACCATTTGAGACGCAACAACTTAAATGTTTTCGTAATTAGTCATAGCCTCCCTTGGATAAGACCGCTGAATCGCATTAGAATTAGAATTTGTGATTCAATGCTTTATGTGTTTTGGTGTCTAGTCGAATTGCTAACAATAAACGAAGACACTAACTATAGTGCTAATTACCACTTCCATGTCTGGGCACATGAATTGGTGACATGGAAGTGGTATAAATACATATAAAGTACATTATATTGATTTGTCCATTTAATTTACCGTTCAAGTGCTGTTTCTGACTCTTCCATGCAATTATTGAGCCAAAGAATTGAAGTTACAACAGTATTATTGTTCCCCACCCAATTGGAAAAAAAAAAAAGTTTTAAAAGTAAAGATTATAATTCATTAAAAAAATTATGAAAAGAGAATTCCTCAAAATATTTATCATGAAGGAGTGAAAAGTGATATAATAATTTATATAAAGTATCACTATTTCTTCCTTCATTGGTAATTGATAAATATTTTGTCAGGATTTCTCTTTTCGTAATTTTTCTAAATGATCAATTTTCTTAGTTTAGTGGCATTCTGGGGGTAAGACTTTGAATCTGGGTCTGTCATTGCAGTAAGAGTAAAACATGAGTTTCCTTCTTGCCCAATCCATAGCTGCTATCTGCTGCTGTGATAGCTTTGTAAACTCGGGTCCATTAACGGGGTCTAGGCCTGAAGGATTGGCCTTGGAACATGAAGAACCTGTTGCTGTGGGATCAGATATGCAGCCACTCAATTGCATTTGTGCAAATGAAACAACAAATGGTGCATACTTATAGTTAACTGGGTATTTGCCTCCATGAGTAGCCCATTCTGAACCATCCCATATTGTAGCATACACTGACATTGGCTTTGATGGATAAATAGAAGGATATGTGTTGCTGTGTATGAATTCCCTCACTGGAATGTTGTCCACTAAGAACCTACAAAAGTTAAAAATAGTTCTTGACAGTTGAATAATTTATCGTTATTCAGATAAAATTCAAGTGCAATTCCTTAGATATTTTTAATATTGTTCTTTAATTGAAAAGTAAAAATAGTTTCTTCACAATTGGTTTATCTAATATAATCAATATTAATTAAACAGAATCATTCCATTTTTCTATCTTTTAATTTCAAAGACTAAAATATAATTAGTGTCTTACACTGTGTGATAACTGTTCCATAAAATGCTGTAATAATGGTACTGCTGTGTTGGGTCGAACCAGAAATAGAATTTCTCTTCTCTTCCTGTGCTGACACTTCCATTGGCATAAATGTTTGTTTGAATAACCCAGTCATTTCTCTTGTCATGACCAAGCAATTCAATGTCTATCTCATCATGGTTGTGAGGGAATTTATCTGCATTCGACAACTGATGTTTTCTATAGTTAGTTTCCTAAGGAGTCATAACCTCAGAGGTAGCTGAATGCAAATCATTTTTATATGCAAAAGCAGCAATAATTAATAGCATATTCATTACAGAATATTGAAGATAATCAATGTGAAAGTGCTTGTGTGCTACCATATATTATATACCATGCTTAGTGCTTCTTTAGGAACAAATTATTTTTATCAAGTAATCGCTTATTTGCAAAAGCTTTCTCCAAAAATTAGTAAAAATAAGTGATTATTTATCCAAAATAAACTGAATCAAGAATGCACTTAATAAAAGCAGCTAGCTTACATAAAAGGCAACTACAACTCCAGATGACAAACCAGATGGTAATTTGATTGCAGCACTGAAGAATCCATAGTAGTATCTGCTTTGTGAGGCCAAACCAGAGCCTATAAAAATATAGCAAATGTTTTGAAATGTTAAAAGAAATTGCAAGAATTGAATAACATTATTAATTGGAGAGCTTCTTCATATTCACCTGAGATTTTGTCAAGAGCCAGAGTGGCCATGGACCCATTACTGAGAAACTGGATATTTGAGGCCCCAAAAGTCTTAGTAAAAGCACCATCAACTGGGACACGAGGAAAAGAATCAGTCAAGTGTGTGACAGTTGGAGTTGTATAAGGCCTACTGTGTGGAGAAACCACAGTGGCTAAGCAAAGGATTAGTAGATATAAGAGGTGTAGCTTTTGTTGCCAAAGTGCCATATTTTGTGAACATATGAGGAGAAAAATATGTAACATTGGGTTATATATTGGGGGTGGTTTAATGGGGTTCATAATGTTTGCTTAGTTGTGTTCTAGCTGGCTTGTGGCTAATTGGTTTTCTGTATGTCTTGGTAGTATCTTTTTTGGCCATGTTTTTTATCATAAAGGCAATGATCCAATGAGTCATGTGGGGGTGTGATTTGCTTTGGTTTGGCAGAGTTTGTGTTGTGGGGCTGGCCTAATGTTAGAGGCATGGAATGGAATGAACTTTTAGTTAATGTTTGATGGGCAATCTCAATCTCCCCTGCTTGGCTGTAAGATCCATTACTTGTCTTATTCCTTCTAATTGTAGCTGTGATCCAATTGGGACCAACTAATTCTGCTAAAACCGCGTAAGCTTTGATCTTTATTTGCTTTTCAAAATTTGTATAATGAAGGATGGAGACCAAATATCATATCACCACATAATTTTTCTCTTAAAACACTTTATTCTTAATGGCACCAATTTTGTTTTTGTATTTAATACTTGATGGTTATATATGGTTGGTTAAACGTATTTTGGACAAACTAATGATTATTTTCTTTCAATTTCTTTAAAGAAATTTTTAAAATTAAATAATTATCTTTTACATTTAAGATACTCTAAACATGCTATTAATATTAGAGATTCTAATTTAGAGGCTTTATATGTCAATGCTATTAGGAAAAAACAAAACAAAACGTGGTTTATTGAGGATAAAGTGTACTATCCTATATATTATGTGACGAAATTTGGATGGTTGAGTTGAATTGGCAATATGAACTTTCTTTCAGTTCACAGAACTAGCAAGCTTTTAAATGCTTGCACTATTTCAACATAAATTGCATAGCTGAAAACGGTTAGTTGGTAGGTAAATCACAGTTAAATAGATTAATGAAGAGAAATCAATGAAGGATCTATATAAGCTTTGATTAACTATATACTAAGCTAATTAAAGATACATGCTAGACCGAAAAAATTGTCAGAGTATCTTTATGTGTGAAAGTGACCACATCTGACAGGGGTGACTTAGCTGGCATGCAAAGGAATCTGATACGACTCAAAAACAACACAGGACATATGAAGATGCATGTTGCTTTTGTAATTTTCTTTTGGTACTTGCAAAAAAAGGTTGCATGCATCGCATTGAAAAAAAAAATGGACATGCAAGTGGGGTTCACAAGAAGATTTTTGGCACGGAATTACATTTCCCTGCAGCACTCAATTGCTGACTGAAACTTAAATAGGTGAAAGAAACAAGGTTGAGATAGTGATAGCATGGACAAAAATGCAAGTAGGGCCAGCTTGTGGGTATCCATGCAAAGGGGTAGCACCCATTCATGTCCCCATCACCTGGTGTTCCTCTATTGGAATTTAGTGTTGCTGAGCGTGAGATCAAGTTGAGGTTTATCCAGTTAGAACTTGCTCTAGATTTTATTGAAATTCTTATCATATCTTCAGTATTTTTTTAATAGGTTCATACTGTTTAGTGAATAAGATTTATCTTAATAAAATTTATTAAATTTATAATTTTATAAAATTATAAAATTTATATATAATTCGACGACTAACAAGTCTTGTTTCATCAGTTACCTGAATCACACGATATTATTAAAATCTGTCAAATATTAAATTTTTAAAAATTAAATTAATTAAAAGATCTGTTTTAATTTATTTATGCATTATTAATTATAAAAAAAATGTATAATTAATAAAGATCAAGTTGACCAAGCTAAAAACCTGCATGATTAAATGTTATAGTAGTTTTTCTTTGTTACTTTCGGCCGATATCAAGAAACTATTTACCAATTATGATATATAAAATTTGAAGTGCAAACTGTGACACAACTACCTAAGCAGTATTTGACGTCGTGATTTTGTCAAGTCAATATTCTAAATTTATTGTCGTTATTTTATATTTCAAATACAACGTTTGATGTATTGTCTTCTATTAATTTTCATAATAAATTTTTAAATTTTTTTTATTAATCTTATAATTCTATCAAATTTTAAAACTTTCAAAGCTCATTGATCTCCATGACTCTCTTAATTTTTGAAAATATTCGTTATACTTCTTTGAAATGGGAATGAGAATCTTATGCAATATATTTAAAATTTTCATAAATTGAAATTAAATAAATATATAATGAAAATATTTATGCACATTGAACTAAAATCATGGCTGTAATGGTATTTATAATTTGTGCAACAGTCGATAACATTGATAACACAAGACATAGCATTATCAACTAAGATGCACCAAAAAAGTAATCAATTGAAGAAGATTAAAGTGTAATTAGACATTTTCTTAATCTAACTCCAAATCCATCACTTTCTCCATATAATACAACCCCATCCGTTGAGGTATCCCACCATGACGTGCACAATTCATATGATGAGGTAGGTTCTCAAAGTTTTGAATACTTTGTTAGATAAATTGAAAAGTCATAATTACTAAATCCACTCATAGGGAGCTCATACACAAGCAAGCCTATTTGAAACACATTATCTAATGTGATCATACATTTTTCATACAAAAAATGAAATGTGTGTGACTTCGGCCTCCAACATTTCACAAGTATATTAATGAGCGTCCTATCATTATCGAATAGATAATCTACACATCATGCCAAGAACCATTATGCCTAAAAAATGGTTCCATCATGAAATATAGAACAACTATCATATTATAGCACTTACTTTTTAAAATTTAAATATCTTATACAATAAAAAAATATTATATATCATACAGTGTTCACTCCTACAAATTAAGTATAAAATAAAATAAAATTACACCAAAATATTGGTAAAACATTTCTTCATATACAATATGAAATTTAAATAAATACATTACAACAAAATTAAATTTAAATTAACTACATCCCAAAATAAATTTAACAAAAAATAAATTTTAATTTATTAAATTTTGTAAATTATAACAAAATACTCACAAAGCTATAAAATTAAAATTATATCAAAAGCAAATCATACATCAAACAACATACTAGGATGTTTTATCTTAATGTATCAAGTCTCATTATAATAAATAAATAAATTATTATAATACCAAACTAAATTCAAACTCTCAAAATATGTTTCACACTCACTAAATTTATTGAAATTCACTAAGTTATAATCTAAATATTTGATTACTTAAAACTATAATTATTTAATTTATTAAAATAAATAGTAAATTACATAAAAATAATGTTAAAATTTAATACACTAACAATTGGATAACCAATTGATTAAATATAAAATAGACACGATATATTAGATATACGATATACATTATACATTACATTATAATAAAAATTAAATAAATAATATATAATTAATTAATTATAAAATTATAATAATTAATGTTTAAAAAATTCCTAAACATACAATTAGAAAATTAATGATATATTATAAATAAATAAATTCAAATGAAATAGTTTTAAAAAATAAATTACCTGTACTGAGAGTTTACTTGTAATATGATTTACAAAATTAAGTTGGTATATTATTATCTATCTCTATAGCAACTATCTTAAAAGGAAAAAACTGAAAAGAAAGACAGAATATTGGAATAATTTTTCTTTGTATATTGATGAAAGAAAAACATGTCATATATATATATAGCTTCAACAAGTGGATAAGAATGAATAAAGGAATAAAAAAAATAGTACAATGAAATAACCACTATACAACTCATCATATTCCAGAAGAATGCTAGCTATTTCTGAATAGCAAAAAGGTGAGGTGGCAGAGTGTGTGTTGTGTAACACCTTAAATTTAATTTCATTAAATATCAAAATTTTCAAATTTGATAAATTCCTAAGTCTTATAGCAGTTTCATCCATCCTTCACTGAGTCTAGTACTAATTGTTTTGGTCACCTGAAAAATAAATGTAAGGGTAAGTACTCTACACTATCCAACACACACACAATTAACTTAGAGTCTCACCTCACACATACTTCACATTGTTCATAATACATTTTACACAAGTATAATTTCAAACAACAAAGTTCAACAATTCATTTCAATTCACGACCGATGCATTCATGGCACCAAAACATTTGACACGCAGCTACGCTTACTGTGGCACTGTGATCACAGATTCATACCATGGATGGTCGCCAGTTACCCTTACCTCATAGACACCGTGTAGGCAGTCACGAGTTGCTCGGCAAAGGTAGTGGTCAGAGATCTAGTCAAGAGAAGAGTGTGTGGCTTGTGGTGCCCACGCTCACTGTTGGTGTCACCACCACTCTCTCTTCCCCAAGGTATTTCTACCGTCCTCATCTTCCACACCTCCAGTATATCGCTAAACCATTCATAGCATCATTACAACGACATTCAACATGCCCAACTCACACATATTTCCATTACATACAACATTTATTCACAGTACACAGCACAATGCCTATAGTCATTCACATTACACGGTACATAGGCCCACATTCATTTACGACACTCGACACGTATGCCCTTATTACATCACACATCATTTTCAACAAAATTTACATTTACATTCAACATGCCATCTACATTCATTTCTAACCATTTACGTTATTCAATCATTGACATGCACACACACACATTTACTCACATTCTCAATCAGGGGTATGTCAACCCCACAATTAAACCACATTGTATTCAAACACACAATAATTTCTATCAACACATATCTCCTACCCTCCACCTCAGCCACATTATAATATTTAGCAATATAAACAGTAAATCATACACGATGAGATAGGGTAGAGTCTCTCCCTCGGATTGTAGACTCACACACGGATCGACAAGGAAAAGGGCTTCCCACACAAATTTCGTCCCTAAAACACATGAAAAACTCTATGAGAACTCAAAGAAGACTCAGTAAACAGAGAAAAGGCACAAAAACTGAAACTCTAACCATTAAAACTCACCTCCAAGCATTCCCAACACGAATCCAACCTTCAATCTAACTCACGAATGGCTTTGGAGGCAATTTAATTAGTGGAA